ATTAACGATGTTCTCAATAGTTAAAAACCTCTTCGGTCGTCCTACTGCGAGTAAAGTTGAGGAGGAGTCCTCCGATGACGACTCGGCCGGTGGCCATACTATCGGACTGCCCTCATTCTCGTATCTTCATGGCAGGTTTTGAGAATCCCTCTAATCGTCAGGCCGTCACTGAGTGTGCCCTCGACTTGCTCAAGGGGGATTTCTTCGTTTTAGATGGTGGGGAGTGGACGAGCCTCGCCGATGGGGTAAGGCTTTGTATTGGTGTTATCAACACTGTAGGGTCCTTAGTTATGCAGCGTAACCTTTGATGAGGCCTTGAGGAAAATGTATGTCACACAAGAGGAGGAAGGAGTGGAAGAAGTCTTCAATGTAGATGTTTGTGGTGATCAACAGTGAAGTATGTGCAACGATCTTAGGCACAGCAGATGGTCAACGTACAGCGTTACGACGATCCCGACGATGGCTATCCGTGCGTGCAGTGGATAGTAGCATCATCAGTGAGGCGAGGACATCAGCATTGTCGCTGTGGCAGGTGGTGACAAAGAGCGACAACATGAGCGAATGGGGCCTCAAATTCCGAAATGAAGAAGCAGTGAACGAATTCGTGAGGTAAGAAGCCCTCGGGTCTCACTCGACTGTTTGTGGTTGACTTATGCTTTCAGGAAAGTAGAGATGCTAGGCCAGGCTGAGTCGACGATTGTGGTCCAAATCGATGGCTTGAGTATGATGGCTAGAGAGGGTAAATCGTGTGTGGGTGATGTCGCTGAGTGTCAGTTGGAGTTTGCACGCATGCGCATCGATTTGGTAATCTGCTCAGGTCCGGGGGAATGGTCGTCGCTTGGGCATGACAACTCAGTGATGGTAATGGTCACTCAGAGGAAGGACTTTGAGGCTCATCTAGTCATATTCGATCGTAGCATAATCATTTTTGTGGCGCGCGAAAAGTTGTCCACTATTCTTAGAGGCCGATGATAGCCTACTCTATAGCGGTGCCATCACTGCTGGCCTTGGCTTCAAATATGAATGGCCGAAAATCATGTGAGTTATTTCAGTGCTGTTGGTTAGAGGTGTTGCTTCGCATCCGAAAGGTCTCTGGTTCGATTCTTGGAAGGACTTAGAGTTTCCACTAGTCGTGTTTTGCGTGGAAGAAGGCATATCCCCCCATGTCAGGTTCTTGGGCTTCTCTCCGCTATCTTCCAAGACTCCAGTGTTGGCAATAGAGTGTATGCTCCATGGGCACGCGTGCACGCTGGTACTTGTATAGTCTAGGTCCGACTCATGCGGCCTTCGCCTCCCTCTGTGGTGCTCTGGACAAGGTCCAGGCTGAACGCCGTTTGAAAAAGAAAAGTAAAACTCATCCGACTCAATATTTCCTCAGAAGTCGATGGTTGTTCGAAATGTGTCGAGGAGTCCCGTCTCGTGAGGAGGGTTTTCCCGTCACTGCTTAATGTGGGTATTCAACACGACACGCCCCGTCTTCAGTCCCCGGCAAGGCCGAGAAAGCGGAGGAGTTCTATGATGTTGAGAATGATAATGAATTAGCGGAGCGAAGCGGTATTTATTGTCCGTTTTTCGTTCGTTGTGCGGAGGTTGTTTTTGCAGAGGAGGTGGAGGCATCCTCATCTTCGTCCTCGGATGCCTGGTCGAGTGATGATGAATACGGCAGTTCGCCAGTGAAGACATACCCTGGGAAGAAAGTAGTGATCTATGTGGTCGTGGGGGTCTGCCAGATAGCATATTCCTAGGGTGCACGGACTGCAGGAGTGGAAAGCAACAAGTTGATGGGCACGTCGAAGAGAGTCGGAGGAGATAGGGCATTCGTATGGCGGACTAAGGTGGGGATGATGTTGTTGTTGATGGGGCAAGGGGTGGCAGGTGATGAACAGGAGGCAGGCAGCTAGACACGAAGTCGGTGGAGGTGCGAACATGAATGTAGGTCAGTGCGTTAGGATGTTGGCTTTTCTATGTGGTGATCCTGGTTCGAAACTATGCGATGGTATTTTTGTGGACAGGTTCTGAGGATGGATGCTGACGGACTGGAGCAAGTTACACAAATTAACAATGTAGTTTGGGCTTGTCAATTCGATCATCTACATCGGAGTTGCTGCCTCCACTACGTGTGGTTTCTATCCTTGGTCCTTTTGGATGGACATCGTATTCGTTGGGATGATAGTCCATGTATCCTCCTTAGATTTTACACAGGGGTGAAGGCGTTTGCCCGACGGCTTGCATGATGCATGAGGGAGACAACAAGATGCTCCTCCTTGATCATTGTGAGCACTCGTGATAGGGGCCCAGTGGCGTCTAGGGTGCCCTGTTCTCAGCTGATCCGACTGATGCTGATAAGGTCCTTTGTATGGACTTGAACGTGGGGAAAGTGGTAAGGTGGCTCCTGCCGAGTGATGGAGTTATGATGGTGGCAGGTGCAAGAATGGAATGCAGATAGTATGAGGGTCAACAACTTAGTGCCGACCTCGAAGACGGCCCAAAGTGATACTTAGGGGAGAAGGAGGGATTTAAAATTGTGCTGTTGTAAGGTACCGGTGAGCAGTGCTTTATGGCGATGAATGACAAGGCTGTGTTCGTGATGGACCCTCGTCTCGATTCGAGGAAGACTAATAGAGTGATGATGAAGTCGCGTATTCGTACCATAATTTGCCCAACTCGTAGGCACAGACGTACGCGTACGCCAGTAACGTGAAGTTGAGTGCTGCTGCGACTGACGGTGGAGGGAGATTTGTACGGGTCGGTGAATCTTCTTCTCGATAAGTGGTGTGGCAGGCCCTCGGCAATCGTGTGGGTGAATACCGCTTATTCGACGGGCAGACTAATAAGGAGGGCCAAATCAAGCGGTGCAAGACCCTCCTCAAGGGCACGGGTGATCCTATCATCAAAGTTGACGTCACGTGAGTGGGGGGGGGAAGGCTTTTTTCGGTCAAGTAATCTTACGTGGAGTGGCGTCGTAATACTCGGTGAAAAACGCGATATTCGCGGTGATATGCAGTAGTTGTGGAATATATTTTTTCACTAGTGTTTTTCATATCCCTGGGGTGAAACTCCAATATATGCCTCTAGCTATGATCATCTGTACCTCTGATCATGCTTGTTCTCGATTCTTATTATTCTTGTGTGGGAAAGAATGCACATGTTTAACTACGTGTGTGTTGATGACAGGATCTTGGTTAATTATTGCCGGATTTTATACACTTCCATACGAATACTTATATAATTTATGAGGAAACTCCTGAGAATCGCAGACTGAGGAAAGTGGAAATTCCAACATTTCGTTATACTCGACTGGTTGTTGGACTTTTCTCAAGGAAGGTTTGCGTAGGTTCGATGGTCGATATTTGTTGGGAACTACGGCGAAGTATTTGGTGTTGATCGACACTCAATTGCCGGGTGGTGTCACTGGCTTTGACAAGTCCATGGGACAGAACGCTCCTGATTTGATATCAATTAGCATATCACAGGAAGATTTCGTGAAGTAATAGGCGGAGCGAAGCAATTCTTGAGTGACATTTTTTTCGTGTTAGGTATGGTCTGAAGGATATCAACTTCACCCCAGCGCGGTTCGAATGCGGCCCCAGTGGAGTTGAGGAAACCATCGTTACCACTACCGGCAGTTTGGTGGTCAGTTGGAATCTTAAGGTGGAGGAATTTTGTGGCGCGCGAAATTGTGATGGTCTTTGCTTGTTTAGGACGTATTGCGAGGAAGAATCCACAAGTATTCAGTGAAGCCGATGGGCGATTACATCGTCGCAACTGATTCCGCACCGGGAGTCTCTGAGGGCAATACTTCAGGGAATGCTGTGGTTGCCATGTGAGCTGCATCACCCATTGAATACGCCGAAGATTCTCGGTTTCAGGTATCAAGATTCAATTGATGTTGCCCGTCGGCGGCGTAGTCATCATCATCATCGTCAATGATTGCAGTGTGATAAGTACAAATTTTCTCACGCATGAATGATACCGACTTTGTGTTAGTAGCATTAGAGATGCCTCTTAGATTGCTATTGGACGTTTATAGTCGCGAACATGATAATGCGTTTGAGGAAATTCAATCGAATAAGTGTTGGAGGCTGGTTGATGTTGAAGTAACCTCTCTAGCTTTGTTTATCTTTACACTAGCGTCATGTAAGAGGTCAATTGTGTGTGTGTTGTTGTTGTAGTGGTACTCTCCTAAATGGGTAATACTCCTCCTTCTACTATCGGAAGGCCGCGATATCGTCTATCCAAGAGTCTGCCCCCCTCAAGGTCTGGTTCGGGGACCTCTGCACTATCGGTGGCGACTACCGCCTCGATTATAGCAGACCCACAAACCAAGTTGAGCAATGTGCCTCGCAGAAGCTTTCCAATAAAGCGTCAGTCTGCAGTGACTCTACGAACGATAGCTAAGCCTTGTTTGAAGAAGAGTGCGACGGTCACTACATGAGTGAATCAAGTTGTATTATTGTTGAAGGCATTCATTCTGTAAACTCCCCTGATGCGAATGCGAGTAAATTCTCCTTGTCTGTCAATTCTAGCCCCTTCGTAGGTTGGAGCTCACTGGATGTTGTGTAATTATGTTGTTATTGCGGCTGGTCGGTCCGTCCAGGTTAAGTGTTATCAATCTTATATTCTTGCTGAGGTCTCTGGTGAACACCAGGTAATTTACGATCTTCGTTTTTCATCATTGCACTCTTGTGTTATAAAGTTTTGGTGGCTTCGAGCAGGCGCCTCAATGCGATCCAAGGATTTGAATAATCACAACAATTCTCCCCAATTGAAGACCCGTATATAAACTGTGTGGTTCTGTATTGAAATTCCGTTTAGAGAAAGTAGACAACAGCGTGAGTGAATATCAATCAACCAGGTAATTGTGTAGAGTGGCACAATCGCCACACCCTATGACTCTTGTGGCGAAAAATCATGATTCGTTATGAGCATTCGCCTCCAAATACTGGTGTTATCTACACGAGATTTCCGCGTTGATTTTGATGCGATGCAATTAGAAGTATCTACAGTATCGCAATTCCACCGAGAAGATGTAATAGGGACAATTCAAACCGCCCGTCATCTGCGTGAGCGGATTATGTGCGAAAGTTGCCACGAGATCGACTACCCCGGCGCAATCCTGGCAGCCTTTTATACTTATTATATCTTATGGTTTGACTTCATAGTAATTGCCCCCCACTACAACACAAACATTACAGAGAGCAAGTTGAGCATGCTTAGCAACTGCTTCACGTTGTATGACTAAGGAACTAACAATGAGTGTAACTACTCCGGCTTTTTCTTCCATCCCAGAAGGGATACACTTAAATACTAATACGGTGATGATTCAACAGCAAGCAAATCAAAATCACCAGGCCGGCGGAGGCGACGTATGTGTGCTACAATACTCCAACACTGGCGATTGTGCTTCAAATGAGTTGTACTAGTTAAGAGAATAGTAAGAAGTAACTACCATGCAAAGTTGTGAAAATGAGAAGTGTCTAATTACGACCAAACGATGATCAACAGTGAGGGCTTCCCCGACCGCCGTTGTTCAGTGATACTATCAGAAAAATAACTACGATGATTATGATTATGATTAAGATGATAGAGATGTCTAAGTGGTGGTAGTCGTGCCAACTTCTCCAACCGAGTGGGTCTACATTATTCAGCCCCCACCAACGTCACCCATCTAACTACATAACCTAAGAACAGTCTCACAGGAGACTTACCATCCATACTCACTATAGTTGTGTTTCGAATTACCGACGACGGGACGAACCTCGATGATGATTATGATTACGCGAATACGTGGGCATACCAAACTTGCGCTCCTGAAGAACAACAGACCTGCCGATGTGATTGTGATACCACAACTCGACCAAATCCTCCGTCAGCTCCTTCACTTTGTCCTGTCTGTTGTATTTAATCCAACCATGGATCTGCGTTTCGTATCTGCCCACACCTTCCTCCAAAATCCCATCAACCACTCCACCCACGCCTTCGCATCCGGAGCACATTTAGCCGCCATACGCAGAATAGCGGGCGTAGCGAGAGACGCGTTCACACCATCGAAGCCAGCACCGGTGGTCGTAGTCGATTGTTGGCCTACCGTACCGTTACCCACTTCAACGACCAAATAAGACCTACTACCGTTGGTCTCCTGCCTCCTCGAGGGCTTCACTTTGCGCATAACATCGAATATCTACAATACATCATATACGCTTGTCCTCGACAAGAACAACAACCCCACAGCTTGAGCCGTCTCCATCTCCCCATGGGTGATGCAGGCCGAAATCAAGCAGGTCCAGACGTGAGCGTTGGCCTCAAACCCGTGCCTAACGGAAAGACAGACAGGTAGCCAGCAGCACTCGAGCAACGCATCACTTGGCTGGCAACTCCTCCACCAATTTAAAAGCGCGCTCAAGATCTCCCTAAACACGATAACGATGATGTCGCCATCACCGCAGTGGATGAATCCACCTGGCGACCGTAGTGCTTGATGAGGATGGAAAGAGTATAACTATTCGGCTGAATTTTCCAGTAGTTGGTCATGTCGTCCAAAAGCCTCTCACACGTACCGTGATACCTGACCTCCGAAATGTTCATCATCAACTTCGTTCAATTTCGTAAAACCTCTTACCTTCGTTTAACACATCCGTCCAGCAGGGTATTATAGATTACCAAATCCGGCTGTAGCCCATCACCGAGCATTGCTAAAATAATCGATCACCAGGGCGAGCGCTACTCCCTACTATCAAACATCTGCAATGATTGCTCCATTTCTCCTCTAGCACAGTATCCTTTGATGATCGTACTGTAAGTGAACTTATCTGGCAGCGGCACCAACAGACCACCAGCGTGGTCCGAGTCTTGCGAGCCCACCACATCAGCTGAGTAAAACACCTCTTCCACCACAACCACACAACCTCAAGGCCACTACCATTCGCAGCCGCCTGTAACTTCATCGCATCGAGTAGCTCCAACGCCCCCTGCATATCCCCTACTCGAACACAGGCGTGGATGAGGCAGTTAAAACTAAGACGAATCATCGTAGCGCATCACCCCCCCCCCGGGGACTTACGTGACTGCATTACAGAGGACATTCTCGTCTCGCATTAACGCAAAAATGCTGCGGGCCCTGTTGGCATCGTTCTGACAGGATAATGGGGGAGTTGAGGGGAGAACAAGCAGAGGAGCTCACTTGCTTAGCCCAGCCATGAATGAGCGTACTATAGATGACAGTATTCGGTGGAACCTGACCAGAAAATGCCTCTACCACGAGGACCTGAGAATCATCCAGGAACCTATAATATTCCCGGGGGGAATTCATTTTCAAATTTCCACGAGGCTAGTTTCCCATTTAAATGTCATCACATAAGTGACTTTACCGATTGTCAACAAACCCTGTGTGACGTTATTTCTCAAAGCTGAGTTGGTCCCTGACCAGGAATCGAACCCACGAGGGATCTCTTACCAGTTCTTTCCAATCACCGACCAACTGCTCTGCCTCCTCAACCAATCTGTTGCTGACCAAAGCGTCAGTCATACAGCCCAGAGTGATTTCATTGGGACGGAAGATGGCGCCCGAGAGCATAGCCGATGACGATTTTGATGACAACGGTGAGGACGCCTAACTCGGATAAGTACCCTCGCTGGGACTCGAACCCGCGACCTACGTCCATCGAGGCCTTCCTCCTTCCCTCCCCACCACTACGACTCCGCCAATTAGACAAACACTGACCGGTCGATATCAGATAGTTCCACACCTGCAAACTGCCATAATTTCGTGGCGCGTGACGCAGCAAGACAACCACCACTACCTTCCAACAGGTCCTCACATCTCCTCTTCTACCACACTCCTTGATAATCGACGAAGCTTCAGCATTGTCACGATCAGACGCAACTCGAATTTGACCCCTCCCATCACCTCCCTCTGATGCTCTGTCGCTGCTCAACCCTGACAATAAATTATTGTCAAACTTAGCAGTATAGTGTTGTTGTTATTATTATTGTCAATGATAATAACAACAACACTACTGCTGCTAAGTAACGTATTTTCCCCGGCCCTCGTTGCATTTTTCATCCGATGACCTACGACCAACTACTATACGTTTTTAATACCACTCACTTCATAACAATGTCGCTGATACAATTTTGAAGATGGAATACATTTCCCGATAGCTGCATCGTAGTAGAGCATCAGAACTCTCCCACGGTACAGAAACAAGTTCCCGAGATCAAAATTGGAAGAGTCCGAAGCTGCACATTGGCCTACAATTAATAGCCGCAGCAGAGGTTCCACCAAGATTCGAACCCGAGCCCGATGAATCAAAGCCCACAGTGCTAACCACTACACTATACAACTTCAAAAACAGTCCCAATGAGCGCTGCATCGTCATCAACTTCCATCCAAGGTAATCGACATTTCCTCACGATCAGACCCACCCCAAATGTTAGCCTCCTCCTCTTCTTCCTCTTCCTTCGACGATGCTTCCCTCCACACCTCCACTGCCCTTTCCCTCATCACATCATCACCAATCTTGCCAGCTTGGACCGCCGTGGTCGCCGCCAGTCCCGGGGGCGGATACAACCTAAAGCGGCGCCCACCCGAGCATATTCCAATCGATGAGAGGACCCCATCCACTCACGGAGGCGGCGGCGGCGGTGGGGAAGGGCTCGACAGAACCTGATGGGCAGCACCCGACGAGTTGATCGATGCGTTCGCCACCAACCGCATAGCCGTCGAACTGAGCACCACCACAACATACACCCAAAGTCCTACCCTCCTTCCCTCACCTGAGTAGTAGTGCCAACATGGTCTGCTGATGAGAAGGGCCTCCACCAGGCATAGCAGCAGTAGCAGCGGTGGCAGCATTCCCCCCAGTGGTTGCCAGTGACAGGGCCGCCTGCTGCATCAGAGCTTCCACAGCTGACTGAAATTAATCAATAATTTTGTCATACCACACCACGGCCACATCGTCCCTCGAATACACGAGAGCCCGACCGCCCAATTACGTTCATCCCCGTCCTCGAGGGCCCCTCCCAGCCGACCTCCCCCTCTCCCGAGTTCCCTCACCTACCCTCAACGCACATCCAAAATCGATACACATCTACCCTCTAACTCACCATCATCCCCATCCTACTAGCGTTACCCTCAACATGGTCCTCTCTCATAAAGTCCGGCACTGCCCAACCCGGTGGTGAGCCGGGAAGGAGGGACTCCGGGGACGACACCAACGGAGCCGCCGCCCCCGCCGAGGCTGAGCTCATCCTATTAGCATCGTATGGCCCTGGAAACAATCAAAACAAAAATCTTATTAACTTCATCAGCAACTAATACGAAGTAGAATCACGACACCAACCAAACCCTAATACCATGGCTGCTGACGCCGACCACCTCAAATTGACACACTCCAGCATCGACGACTACTACACCTCTACTACAATTTGATCGTATTTCCCCAAGGGACTTGAAAACACTTCTCCCCATCACGCACTCCCGCACAGCGAAGGATTCAATATACTAGCAATCAGAACAAGATTTCACTGGCCAGTGCTGGAGGAATATCTCCTCGCTTTCCTAAGCTGACCTCAGAAATTTCCTCACTAATCATGAGGGTTGATATGCAGTACGGGTCAATTTGATATGCAAATGTGTGTTATTTTGTAGGACAAATGATAGTGAACAAGTTGTCGCTATCCTCACAGTCCCAAACGGGTACTCTCATCATCATAACACATGTTCATAGCCATCGTTACATTGCAAATCGATTCTCATTAATCTCGGAAAATAACACACATTTGCATATCAAATTGACACGCACTGTACGAACGCAGAAGTGTACGAAAATCAACAATTTCTCAGAATTTATCAACAATTCCGCACAATCACGCTAGTTAATATACGAATACAGGTAGAAGTGCATGAAAACAATCAAGATTTTTCAAATTTTCTCCAGAATTTCCATACCGTCACCAACACATATTGTTTACCCACATTCCCATCATTATCAACACTCGCTCGAACCACGACTTACTTTGAGGTGACAGATACGTACTATCAACTGTACTGGGAGTCCATACCCTAGCCGCCGCCTCCGGAGAGAGCGTCACCCCGCCCGGAAATTTTCTGCTATTATGTAGCCCTCCACTCGATGACAAGGGCGTGTCCGGAACTTGGGAATAGAGACCATTGGGCTTCCATCCCGGGCTACCCTGAACCAAGCGATAATTCAAATCGTGAAAAAACGAAGATTTGGGAGCACTAACGCTTAACGACAAAGAAATCAGAATAATAACAACTCCGCTAAACAAAAATTAGGAGGGGGAAAATATGCACATAGCCAACTACACGTGTTGGTGACAATATGAAACTTCTGAGAGGAAATTTTCACAAATTCTTTCTACTTCCCTATACTTCTACCTAAGTTCGTATACAAACTACTATAATTAACGAGAAAACTCCTGCTGAGCTCAGCTGAGGAAAACCAACTTTCTTTCTAACACTAGAACAAGAAGAGCCCTATCGCTGCTCTCACTCACCCAATATGTGTCCCCTGCCTCCTCAGGACGCAACGGACTCACTCCAACAGCACCGCAGTAGACATCTAAGCACATTAATATACCACACAATAGGTACTTCGAAAATATACAAAAAGTTTCAAAAAATCAAATTAATTTAAAATTCAAACAACACGTCTTCAATACTAAAGTAGACGAAAATACTACAGCGCGAAACGACTCATAGCCAAAATCCGTCTGTCCACCAACCTCTCTCCAAAGGCGTTGTACTCTGCCACAACGAGCCACTCGAATAACTGCTATTATATGACGATTGACATCCTCCAGAACGCATCTGCGTTGAGGAAATGCAAGATAGCAAGATTTCCTACTTACACCAGGCCCATCAGCAAGAGCCGTCTCCAAGTTGAGTTCCATCGCTTTTTCCTGACCAGTATGTGCGCCCGATACGACATCATGATCTGAATCGAATACAGTGCAGTTTCAGAACCCGTTTTACGTGAAGTGGCGTCGTGAAACTCGGTGAAAAACGCGATATTCGCAGTGATATGCACTAGTCGTGAAATATGTTTTTCACTAGTCTTTTTCATACCACTTGGGTGAACCCCTAGTGTTGGAGGAATATATGTTCGTTTCCTCAGTAGTCATACGAGTCTATATACAAACCTGCGTAAAAGTGTATGAACACCAGTGAGAATTTCCTCAGAATTTTCTTCATATTGTCGCCAACACATGTAGTTGACCATGTGCATATTTTTTCATACTGGCCGAATACAGCCACCGCACGAATGAATTTCTACCACAAATATGAAGCTAAACTTCTGTACTGAAAATATGATGTAAAGTAAATACAAAAATACAATGCCAATACTAAAATACTATACCGAGTACAGTGGGGTTTCACCCTAGTGATATGGAAAACACTAGTAAAAATTATGTTTCGCGACTACTGCATAGCGCGAATATCGCGTTCTTCCACAAAGTATTACGACACTTCGCGTAAAACCGATGAAACTGCAATCAACCATATAAAGTAAAAATACAAAAAATACAAAAAATGCAAAAAAATACAAAAAAAGGAAAATACAGAAACAAACATAAAAACTGCGTTTACTATGTATTTGTTGAAGTAAATTACCATCATATACGTCACACCATTCGACAGAAGTATCTCCTCAGACTTACTTGTGGTATCATAATCGTTCAACAACAACGATTCATACACTCCAGAATTCTGAGGCCAATTTCCCACACCTGACCACAACACATCCAACCAATCGCCATCGACACTGTGAAAATATGCACATGTTCAAATACACGTGTTAGTGACAACATTGAAATTTTGAGGAAATTTCTCATAGATTTTACTGGAATTTTCGTGTATAACAAGTGAGGAAACTCCCGAGCTCAGCTAAGGAAAATGGACATATATTCCTCCAACACTAGAAGACCAACCTGAAGGGCTCCAAGGCGAACGGAAAGGACTTCTATTCGTCATAGAAAAGCTCCCTGTAGGGAAAACATCCTCCTGAAAATGGAGATCAGATTCGCGAAACACGACTTCATCTCACCTCAGGAATTGCCTTTGGTGTGGTAAGTGATTGAGGAATCTCATGAGCTGAGGAGTTACTAATGCTTGAGTCTTTCCTGTTCATGTGGACTCCTTCAACACACAGATTAACAAGAACGACAACACAGGCAACTGAGAGGAGCATATACTACTACCTCTACCAGGGATTGAACCCGCAACCTAAAATATGCACATGGTCAACTACATATGTTGATGAAAATTCTGAGCAAATTTTGGGAAATTTTCGTGGCTGC